GGGGGGCAGGGGGGGGTCCTATCTGCCCCCCCCCCCTGCAGCTTTCTTCTCCCCTTGCAGGACGTGGAAGGGGCATATCAACAGCTGCTGCTTCGGCAGCCGCCACCAAAGGGGTACTTCACCAGTGAAGCCACACCTGGGCAGGGAAGCGCATCATTGCCAGAGCCGAGCCGGATGTCGCCCAGCACCCCCCAGGGGTCCGGAGTCAGCCGCCCCTCTCTGCCCTCCTCCCCACAGTCCCCGGTGGCTGCTAAGCCTGGTACGAGGGCTAGAGGGTCCCGGTGCCCCATCCCTGCCCGCTGTCCACCTGGGGACTGAGGCCATTGTCTTTGCAGATGTGAACGGGCTCCCTCTCGCCCTGCCCAACGACGGCTCCCAGGAAGTGACCCTGTAGGGCAGGAGGGCCTCCGCCAAGGAAGGAAACGCGCCTCCAGGCGATGCCTCCTTCGCCCTCCCACCCCTCCCGGCCTGTGCTGAAGATGGGAGGAGGCCGTGGACGGGACCGGGAGCTGCCTGGGTGAAAAACGGCGAAACTGAGGAGGAAGCAGAGAAAAGCAGGACTCTGCCTCGTGGGAAAGGACAGGCGTTGGCTTTGCATGAACTGTTCTGTAGAAACATCCCCAACTGGAGCGAGCGGAAGCAGACTTTCAGCTCTTTCCCCTGCAACGCAAGGAGCCCCCGGCCCTCCGCTGGCTGCCTTTGGGGTTCAGCCCTTCATTTTGTTCCCTAGATGAACGGATGGCGTGGTTGCACGTTCGGGTGTGCGTGAGAGATGTGTGGACACACGCACGCCCTGCACAGGACAGCGGGCGTATATTCTGTATCATTGCACTTTTGTTTCCCTTAATATCTCTCCGTGGGGAGGAAAGTCTCGCCGGGGGGGGGGGGGGGGCTGCTGCCCCCAGACCTTCTCATTGGGTATAAATATGTATGTATGTGCATTGAGGTTTTGTAAATACGATAGATAGTTGTTTCCCTGTGGCTGTTCTTTTTGTCTCCATTCCTTCTTCCGAGGGTCTTTGCTGAAGGCTCTGGCCCTTCTGGGGCTGGGAAAACCCCCCTGGCCGTACTTGTGGAAGCAGTTGGGCTGTTGGAAACCCCCCCCCCCAAGGCGACCCCTGGCTCTTCTCAGGCAGCAGCCACCCGGTCCTCACGGGCCCCTTTCAACCCCTGGAGTTTTTATTTTACTGCTTTCAGTGCTAAAAGATTTTTCAACAGAAAAAAAAAGTAAATATTGTCCAAGCTCTTGCATGTGAGAGGCCTGTTTCGTTTAAAAGTGGCAGGTTATGGAACGGCTGAGGAAGGGAGGGGGGATCTGAGGGGGGCTCTCCTAAGCGTGCAATTGCACAGAGGCCTGGTGTGACATGCAGCCCAGTGGAAGTCCTTTGAGTTGAAAAGCAGAGAGGTGGTCCCACCAGCCCTTAACAGGCTTTTTTCCCCACATGGAATTTTTTACGCAGAAGAAGAAATTCAGGGTTTCTCGTGTGGCTTTTAATGGGCGGAAGGGAGGACTCCGTCCATCCAGTCTTGTGAGGACAGCCTTCAAGGGGTGGGGGCTGGCTTCTCTGCCCTCCGGTGCCAGTCCTGGGGATTCTACCCAGCAGGTTTGGCTCAGAGCTTCTGGGTGCCGCATCCTCAGGGAGAAGCTGGCCTTGGCTTACTGGGCAGCGGTGAGCAGCTCCTCCTCCGGCCTGGTGGCTCTGGGGAGGGGGTCTCGGGGCCCCATGAGCTCCTGGATCCTGCTGTAGGTCTTGCTCTCGGCCGGGAACTGGTTTTTCTGGGAGGGTCAACAAAAAGGGTGGGGACCCTGTGAGGTCGAGGACTCCTGGCGGCAGGGAGGGGGGCTGCTCCCCCCCCTTTGATTGGCAGGGAGGGACTCACCGCCAGAGAGAGACGCAGGAGGCCGGTTGGCCCCTTGCCCCCAGGAATGATCCGGCTGACCTGGTACTCCACCGTGGCCAGGAAGGCCTTCAAGCCGTTCTCCGAGATGTGGTTGCCTTGGGAGGCAAGGAGGGGAGGGTGACGCTCTGGGTCCTTCCTCCATCTTGAAGTCTTGGGAAAGCCGCAGCCCCCCCACCCCCTGCCCTGCTCCCCGACCTACGCATGAGGTTCAGGTAGATCAGAACGCGGTTTCCCTGAAGGAAAACCTGCCCCTCGCGGTGCTCGGCTGGTTCCAGCAGGGGGTTCATCATCTCGGTGGGCTCCAGGATCTGCTGCAGGGGGGGCGGGGGGGCAAGCCAGGCAAGTACAGTAGTTGGGAGAGGAGGGGTACGGCTGTCCTCCCCTCCGCCACAATCCCTTAGGATTCTGGGTAGGTGAGACTGTCTGCAGAGGATAGACCGACCTTAGTTCTTGCGGGGGGGAGTGTGTGTGAGGCTCAGCCAGCCATGCTGGACTCAGCCAGAGTTTTTTGGGGGGGCTCACCTCCACTTCCAGGATCTGGGACCGCTTGTCCTTAGAGCCCAGCTTCACTCCTTTGGCCCCCTTCGCTTTGGGATCAACCGGGGGAACGGCTGCGGGAGACAATCTGAGCTCAGGAGTCTGGGGGAGGCCTCCGAGGCCTGGGGATGGGGAGGGGCTGGGTGTCCCAGCCAGAACCTTTCTTGGACTGCTTGGCGTCCTCCTTCTTGGCCTGGGCTGCTGGTGCGGCCGGTGGCTGTGCGGGAGCTGCTCCGCCTACTGGGCCCTTCTCCTCCTTTTTGGTGGGTTCCTGGAAAAGGCCAGACACCGGTCTCTGCCAGCCGGGGAGGTACTCTACGCTCTCTGGGTACCCCCTCGCCTGGCTGCCCCCACCCCCACCCACCGTCCTTGGGATGGCTCGCCTTCTTCTTGATGACGGCCTTGGAGCCCTTGGCGGTCTGCAGCTTGTCAATGGTGGTGCTGCTAACGTGGCTGGCGGGACGGTCGCCCTTCAGCTCCGAGTGTCTCTGGGGCTGAGGGAAGGGAAAGGGGGAGATGGGCTTGAGGGACTCTGCCTCTGCAGAGCCTCCGATTCATCCTGTCCCAATTCATTGGGGGGGGGGGCGTGTTGCCCGTGCCAGTTTAGCCTCCCTTTAGAGCAAGAGCTTCTACGCAGGCCGGGGCCCCAGTTACTCACCAGGCGGCCTCTCTCCTGCGCCTCCTTCTCCAGCAGCAGCCGCCGCCTCTCCACCACCTCCGTGTGGGTAAGGGCAAAGGGGCCAAGCACCTGCAAGGCAAGCAGCCGGCTGAAGGACCCCTGGTCACTGCCCTCTGGCCACCCTGGGCTCCTGGCTCCTCCAATGGAGCGGGCAGCCTCCCGGCACTCACCTCGGCTAGCTTCAGGGCGCCTTCGTCCCCGATCTGGTTATGCGCCAATGACAAGGACAGCAAGGACCGGTTGAGGCGCAGGCCCTGCACGGAGGGGGAAGCACCTGAGGTTGGGCTCAATTGGCAGCCCCCCCCCCCCCGCTCAGACGGGATGCCCCCTCCCCACAGCCAGTCCTCAATGGGAAAGCCAGCCGGCCAAGCAGAGCCCAGCAGCCTCACGTTGGCAAGGTGGGTGGCCCCAACATCCGTGATGTGGTTGTAGCTGAGGTTGATGGAGACCAGGTTCTTGTTGGAGCTGCGGAGCGAGGAGAGCGACTGGCCAATCAGCAGCACCGCCTGGTCGTCCATGCAGTTGTTGCGCAGGGACAAGTGGGCCAAGCTGGGGAGAAAGAGCAGGACTGTGGGAGGGAGGGTGCCACCTTCTACCCCCCCCCAGTCTGGGCTCCTCCTGGGTGCCCACCAGGGAAGGCCCTGCAGCGGGTCAGCAGCAGCACAGGAGGGACTCTCTTTCGCCAGGCAGCCGGGGTCCTGGGCCAGGGGACGGCTGGGGAGGGGTCCTGGGGCTCTACGGCCTCACCTGCTCTCCTCCGAAACCAGCTTGTAGAAGGAGCGCTCGGGCAGGGGGTTCCCTTCCAAGACGAGGGTCCTGCAGGGCAAGAGATGAAGCAGGGCTGCCCTTCCCCCCCTTCCCCCAGCCCCGGGTGGGGGTCACCTACTTGAGGTTGGCGCAGGCGGCCAGCACGGGCAGCAGGGAGAGGAAGGCGGGGTCGGTCAGGCCGACCTTCCAGAGGCTGCAGAGTTAACAGTAACAGAGTTGGAAGGGAGCTTGGAGGTCATCTAGTCCAACCCCCTGCTCACGCAGGAGTCCTGTGCTAGGGATTCGAACCGCCGACCTCTCAGCGTCTTAGCCAAAGAGTGCCGGGCTGTCCGGAGGAAGAAAGCCCCTCCCCGCCCCCAGCTCGCCCGCTCACTCACTGGAGAGCCTGGAGGTGGGCGAGGGCCGGCAGGCACTTGGCCAGGACGCCCAGCATCTTCTCCTCGATCTTCCAACCTGCGGGCGGCAGAGAGTCGGGCAGAGCGGGAGGGGCGGAGGGGCGGGGGCGGAGGAGGGGGCTCGGGGGGGGGGACTCACTGCGGATGAAGACCTCGCGGGCGCTCTTGGGGTCCTCGTGCTCCAGCTCCACCTGCACGGCGGGACGGAAGTAGGCGTACTTGGCCTGGATCTGGGCCAGCGCCGACAACGCCTCCCGCTGCTCCCCCGCCGGCCAGGCCCCGCCCGCGCCCTCGGGCTCCTCCGGGGGGCCCCCGGCGGGCGGGTGGGGGCGGCTGACCACGCGGGGGGCCTCCTGCAGCCCGGCGCGCGCGCAAAGCTCCGGGAAGTCCAGCTCCAGGGCGCCGCTGCACACGTACTCCTCTGCCGGGGGAGGGGGGGGGAAGAAGGGGGGGGGGGGCCAGGGCAGGGGGGGGGGCGGGGGGGGGGGGGGGGGGGGGCACGGCGGGGGCCCCGTTCACCTTCTCCGTGCTCGGCCCTGCGCGCCGCGATGCGCGCCTCCTCCTCCTGCGCGGCGCTCTTGTCCTTGGCGCCCCGCTCGCCCTTCTTGCCCATCGCGGCGGCGGCGGCGGCGGCGGCAGCGGCGTCTGGGGGGCGTCCGGGACCGTCGCCTGGCAACCGCGGAGGGGGCGGGGCCGAGCGCGGGGCCTGCCGGGATTGGTAGTCCGCCGGGGCGGCGCCTGCCGGGCTAGAGTGACGCCGACGGCGGCGTGCGCGTCCCCCGGGCTGCCTGGGCGTCTGGCCGGTCTGCGCTGCGAGATGGCGGCGCCCGGAGCTGAGCCCGACGCCGAGCTGGAGGAGCTGCTGGCGAGTGAGCGGACGGGGCGGACGGGGGGAGGGGGCGGCGGCGGGGCCCGCGGGGTCTTCCCGGCCGCCCGTCCGAGCCCGCTGCGCTCTCTCCCTGCAGGCGCCCTGGAGGACTTCGAGAGGGCCGCGCCGGCGCCCGGGGAGCCCGCCGGAGGAGGAGGAGGAGGCGGCGGCGGCGGAGGAGGAGGCGGCGGCGAGGGGGTGGCGGAGCCGGCGGGAGAGGCGCAGGTAGGCGGGGGTCGCGGGCGGGGGGTCTCCCTCCCTCCCTCCCTCCCGGGCAGCGCCTGCAGCCTCCCCGCTTCGCCCCCGCAGGGCCGCCTGCTGGCCGCGCAGGAGACCTTCTTCCAGGAGCTCTTCGAGGGCGAGCTGGCGTCGCAGGCGAGCGCCGAGTTCGAGCGGGCCATGGAGGAGCTGGCGGCCGAGGAGCCGCTGCTGGTGCAGCAGTTCCAGAAACTCTCGGCGGCCGCGGGCAGAGTCGGTGAGCGGCCTGGGCAGCCCCTCCGGGCTCGGGCGGGGGTCGCGGGGCTCTTGGGGGTGGGGAAAAGAGCCCGGCGAGTGCTGCTGCCTCCGCCTCGTTGCAGGGAGCGACCCCGCGTCCCGCCAGGAGTTCACCTCCTGCCTGAAGGAGACGCTCAGCGGGCTGGCCAGGAACGCCGACGGCCTGCAGGTGCGTCCCCCGGTCGACCCCCCCCCCACACCCCCTCCCAGGGCCCCGCCGGCCTTTCCTCCCTCCGTGCCGCCTGAGCCCTCCCCTCCCAGCTGCCTCTTTCTCTAGAGCTCCGGGGTGTCCGAGGAGGAGCTGAGCAGGACGATGGAGGGGCTCGGTCTGGAAGAGGGGGACGGCGGGGAAGGCAGCCTTTGGCCCATCATGCACAGCATCATGCAGAACCTGCTCTCCAAGGACGTGCTCTACCCCTCCCTCAAGGAGATCACCGAGAAAGTAAGAAAGCCCACCCAACATCCCCTGCCCTGCCCTGCAACCCAGTCCAGCTCTTGCAGGAAGGGGCTGCCTCGGGGCTCCTCATCATTCCCCCTGCCCCACCTGAGGAAGGCAGGAGGTCCAGCAGGTGTGCCATCCATGACCACATGGTGGATTCCCCCCCCCCCAGTACCCCGAATGGCTCCAGAGACACCGAGACTCCTTGCCCAAGGAGCAGTACGACAAGTACCAGGAGCAGCACAGGATCATGGGAAGGATCTGCGAGCAGTTCGAGGCTGAGCAGCCCATGGACGGTGACCCGGAGCAGAGGGCCCGCTTTGAAATGATCTTGGACCTGATGCAGCAGGTGAGGGGCTGGTGGGGCCAGGTGGGGGGGCGATGCATGAGGCTGAGGATTAACTGTGTCCTTTGCCTTCCAGCTGCAGGACCTGGGACATCCTCCCAAGGAGCTGGCCGGAGAGTCGGTGAGTGCCTGTTCAGCTGCCTTTTCCCCAGGCTTGGATTCGGTCTTGCCAGCAGCCTTGGCATCACAAAGCAAAGGGGGGCAAAGAGGACATTTCCGAGCCCCAAAGTGCCTGATTAGGGTGGCTTTAACCTCCCGGCGTTTCCTGCAGCCTGTCCTTCCGGAGGGACGCAACAGCCCACTCCCTGCAGAAAAGCATTTTGTTTCTTGTGAATGAACGCTTCTTCCTCCTTTTCCAGCCTCCTGGCCTGAACTTTGATCTGGAAGGACTGAATCTGCCTGATGCTGGAGGCGCCGGAGGCGAGCAGTGCCAGATCATGTGATCTGCTCCCGTGCCAGGGAGACTGAGGAGATGGGAGGGCGCTGTGGTGGGTCGAGGTGTTTGTGTCTTTTTTTCCTACTTTCTGTCATTACCAGGTGCCTGAGGCTGACTGCCTTTGCTAAACCCGGCAGGTGGTTTTGCAGGGATCCCACAAGGGACTTAACAAGCTAGAGTAATGATGCCCTGAGGTCAGGTGCCCAGCTTTGCCTCTTAGCTTCTGAAGAGACGTATTGCACTTGAAGGCCCCAGGAACATCCCTTCCTTCCTGCCCTGAGTTGATGGACAGGCTCTCTCGGATGAGGGATGAGGTTGCCCTCGATGAAATAATCAGGCCGAGGGAGGAGGCAGTGGCTCATGAGAGTCCTCTGGGTGAAGGGAGACCTCCTGCACCCACTTCCGAAGGCCCAGCTCTGCTGCTTTCCTCAGGCAGCTCTGGTTGCAACCCCTAGTTCAGTGTTCAGTCACGGTCTCTGGATCAGGGAGCCTGAGGCCCCTTTTCAATGATGCCAGGCAAGCTGACCAGCTTCCTGGACTTGCCCATATCAGTGTGTGCCTCTTTTTTTGCCGTAGCCCCAACATCCCTGGCCCATATTAGTGCCACTGCTTTGTGAGAACCGCCTGTATGGGGAGATAGCTAGGAAGCAGGCAGCTTCTGCCTGCTGGCCACAGGGGCGTTTCCTTTCTGCTAGCGGCTGATGGTGCAGGAGGAGAGCCGCCCTCCTTGGCCGAGTCTGGCTGAACTGAACGAGAAGGGCAATTTTTGAAATAAAGGTGGAGGTTGATAGTTTGAAGTTGTGATTGTTTCTGTTAATTGTTGTGAGTAGAGGGAGTCCCCCGTTTCAAATCTAGCAGCTCCGCTTGGCAGCCGTAAGCTGCTCAGGTCCTGTACAGTGTGGGCAAAACGGACCATCAGCAGTCTAGTAATAATTATTTTCTAGGACATCTCCAAGTTGTAGACACATTTGAATAGGCACACATTAAAGGTGGGGGGGTGGGGGGTGGCGAAGTGGCAGGAGAGTCTGTCAGATGCTTCTTGTTCTTCAGCGGCTGGAAGCAGAGATGCTTGTTTTTGGGGGTGCAAATCCTAAAGGGGGATAGAAAATCCTGCGGGACTCGCAGTGGCCTTTGTGCGAACTGGTGGAGAGTGATTTTGGTCTGTCTTAGCCTCCGATAAGCCCCCGGGACTTCCTAGGGCTCCTCCGCTCGCCCGTGCGGGCACAAATCCCTTCGGCTCTTTTTACTCGGGGCTTTGCCCCGCGACAGCTGCCTTGCGGGAGGGCGAGGCGGGAAGGGGCTCCAGGAGCGCAGGAGGCTTGCCGGGCGAGCCCGAGTCCCTGCGGGAGGCTGGCCCAGAACTCGCAGGTCGATGTCCGAGTGCGGTCGGAAGGAGGGGCCGGCTGTCCCACGTCCGCTTGCAAGAGGGGAACCGCGGAAGGGCGATTGCACTTGGGCGGCCCGGCCTCCCGCCGTCCGGGCGAGGATCCCCCGGGAGGTTTGGCAGCGCGGCGCTTCCGGACTCCCTTATGCCAGCCACCAGGGCTCGCTCTCTATGGTTTTTCCCGCTCTGGGCAGGCGTCTCTACGGCGCCTCCGGCCTCTGCCTTTTCCCCGCCTCTGCCGTAAAGCCGTGGGGGGGGGGGCGCGTGGCGTAAAGCCGACTGTCGCGAAAAGCGGCGGCCGCGGAAGAGCCGGAAGGAGACGCGCGGCGCCGGTTGGGCGATAAAATGGCGGCGGCGCCTGGGCGTCCCGGGGGCAACACCGGCGACGGGGCGGCGGGAGGAGGAGGAGCGGGAGCCGCTGCCGCCGCCAGAGGTACCCGGAGGGCCCCAGCCTCGGGCAACCGCGTCCCCGGCCGAGACCCCCGGGATGGCAGCGCCGGGCCTGCGTGCGGGGCAGCGGAGCCTCGAGGGCCGCCTTTCCCGAGCTCCCCGGCGGAGCCCCCGCGGGCGGTCGAGCGGGGTGGGGGTTGGGCTCCGCCTTCCCTTCCACGAAGTCCTCGGGGGAGGCGGAGAGGGAAGCCGAGGAAGGCGGCCGGGGGGGGGGGGGGGGCGAGCTTTCTCCCTCTCCGGGGCGTCCGGGGAAATCCGGTTCTCTGAGACGCCGTTTTCTGCCCCCCTCTCTCCCCCCCCCGCTTAGTCTGATCTCCGGTTCTCCGCGCCGGTTCCCGGGTGACTGCCGAGCTCCCCCCCCCCGACGGAAGAGGCGGCAGGACAGGTGGGTCTGCTGGGGGGAGGGAGGCGAGTCCCGGCGGAGCTTCTTCAAGGGGGAAAAGGGTGCGAAGCAAGTGCAAAGAAGGCGGGGGGAGGGGAGGGGCTGTGGGGGCTGGGACCTCCTCCTCCCCCCCCCCCCCAGGGCATCCGTACCGCTTGGGCATCGTAGCTGTGGCTCCCTGGGCGAGGCTCCCCGATGGGCGTGGTGGCCTCTTTGGGCAGAGCCTCTCGGGGAAAGGGGCTCGGTTCAGTCCTCCTGCTGACCCCCCCTCCCCCCCGGGGCCTTGGCTTTGGAGGCCTGGCCGGTCAGAAGCTGCCGGCCTTCCCTTCCCTCCTGCTGACCAGCTGAGCCGATGGCAGCCAGGAGCCTCCTGGCCTTGGCCGGGCTGCCACAGAGGTCGTGTGGTCCTTCTTCTTGCGGCTCCTGAGCCTGTTGGGGGTTCGCTGAGGGAGCCTCCTGGTGTTTGGGACCTCCTTGCTAAGGGAGATGAGGGCAAACAGGAAAACCGCCGGCCTTTTGCCTGAGTTTGGAGCGGAGACGTGGGGTGCAGGCCTCCCCTGAGCTGAGCCCTCTGCCTTCCAGAGAAGCAGAAGGCGGGCTGTGAGCCAAGGAGAGGCTGCTCTTCTGGAGCAGCCCTTGAAGGCTCCGTGCTTTTCCCAAAGAGACCGCTCCAGTTTGAAGGGCCCAGGGGTGACGGCCGGCTCCTCCGGCAGCCTCCGCATACACTGGCCAGGAGGTTAAGGAGGGTGGTCTCCTTCCCCCTTCTTGTTGCCGTTGGGGTGGGCCGGGCTTCTTCCATAGAGGGCTTCACTGTGAAAGCTTTCACCCCACATATGTGCACATGGTGCCCCTACTATTAGCACCGAGGCCTCAGATCTCGGCTGGCGTTTGGAGACCCCACTGTTTACTTGGAGACCGTTGCTCAATAGCGTGGGTGTCTTTAAAAGGATGTTTGTTGTTAATTTCATTAATTATCAGCCATCTTGGCAACCATCTGGCTGTAAGGGAGGCGAAGTATCTTCAATAAGCAGTGTGATCTAAACAGAAAAATAAACAGTGGAGTTTTATACTGCCGATCCCACTCTAGAAACCTTCCTTATGCTTAAAGAGTTTGCTCATCAAGGTCTGGTCGGACTTGGAGGCCTTTTGGTGCCTTCTTGTCTTGTGAAATGGGCTCTGAATATGGGAACTTTGAAAAAAGTACCTGCCCCTCTCGCCGCCTCTGCTGGGACCTTTTGGGGGAAGGTATCAGGGCAGCTGCTTTCCAAATTGAAGGGCCCTGATGCCGTGCCTGCTGGTGCTCCAGACTTTGCCAGGCTCGCCTGCTCTGGTGCCTTGTGTGAGTGTGGAGAGAGGGCTGCCACTGTGCACTCCTTCGCCTGGGTGCACCAGTGCTGTGTCTGAAGGCAACTCTTGGGCAAACGGGGGCAGAATGGACTCGTGGAGGCTGTGATCACTTGAGGGTTGGAGACGGGTCAGTCTTGCTGATTCTTCCTTTTCCTGCATCTGCCTCTTGCCACAAATGGTTCAGTTCACCTGCTGCTCTCTTTCCTTCTCTTTCTCTCAGGGCAAGTTAAAATAAAATAGCAAGATGTCAGACGCGGGGAATAGCACACAGGGGAAAGCGAATATCCCTAATGGTAAGAGCAAAGAGAGAAGCAGAAAAATTCCTGACGTTTGTTGCCGGTTGCAGGACTGTGAAGGGCGCCATGTGAATTCACTGAGCTGTGTTTGGATGGTAGAATGGGCAGCGCAGACGGGCTGGATCCTGCCCACCTCCCACACAAGCCTACCTCTGTCCATGCAGGAGAGCGATTCCTGTGCTGGGCAGAATCACGGGCTCTTCCCCTGTGGAAAGCTGTGGGCATTTGGGCATGGCAGCCCCTGGGGAGCAGCCCTGCGTACAAGAAAGACAGAGGAGGGAAGGCCAGCTCAGCGTTCTAACCCAGATATGGTCTTCACACACAGGAAGCTTGTCCAGCAGCCCAGAAGAGATGTCCGGAACTACAGAGGGACCCGAGACGTCTTCCGGGGTGGAGGTGGAGGCTTCCGACCTGAGCCTCAGTTTGACAGGGGACGAAGTGGGCCCCAGCCAGACTTACACAGAAAGCTCCACTGAAGAGAAGGACTCGGACAGCATGGAGGAGACAGGGCACTACTCCATCAATGAACTGAATCGGACCTATGACCACTCCCCTTCAGAGGAGGAGGAAGAGGAGGAGGCGGAGGAGGAAGAAGAGGAAGAGCAGCAGCAGCAGCAGGAGGAGGCGGTGGAAGTGGAGGCCCAGCGTTCCCGCTGGCGAGCACACCGCAAGCGCCCCAACCAGGACAGGGACTCCTCGGATGACGAGCGGGCCCTGGAGGACTGGGTGGCCTCGGAGACGATGGCGCTGCCCCTGCCGCGCTGGCGAGCTCTCCAGGCGCTGCGGGGGAGGGAGCTCGGCTCCAGTGCCCGCTTCATCTATGATGCCTGCGGGGCCCAGCTGTTCGTGCAGCGCTTCTGCCTGCAGTACGGCCTGGAGGGCCACGGGGGCTGCGTCAACACCCTGCACTTCAACCAGCGGGGGGCCTGGCTGGCCAGCGGCAGTGATGACCTCAAGGTGGTGGTCTGGGACTGGGTGCGCAGGCGGCCCGTGCTGGAGTTTGAGAGCGGCCACAAGAGCAACGTCTTCCAGGTGGGGGGCGGGCGGCGACTGGGTCGTGTGGGGGGGGCTTGGAGTTTGGAGCAGGGTCTTCCAGAGGGCCCAGCCACCCTGGGTTTCCCACTGGGACTGGGGCCTGGAGGAGGGATGCTGATTGCCCTGGAAAGAGCTCTGCTGGCTGGTGGGGCAGATGGGGGGGGTCCGGCCTTGGGCCAGAACCGGCCCCCCCTTGCCAGCCCGGCTGATTTTGCCTCTGCAGGCCAAGTTCCTCCCCAACAGCGGAGACTCGACCCTGGCCATGTGTGCTCGGGATGGCCAGGTCCGTGTAGCTGAACTCTCTGCCACGCAGTGTTGTAAGACCACAAAGCGGGTGGCCCAGCACAAGGGCGCATCGCACAAGGTGAGGGGGCCTCCTCTGCTCCCCCCACCTCTTAGTGTTGATCAGGAGTGTCTGGCTGCAACGGCACCGGGAGGGCCTGTGCCCAATAGGCTGCCCACACCTGGCTCTCGGTTTCTGGCCACAGTGATGCACCCGATGAGCTGGCACCTTGGCGAGAGGCTGCCTGTTCCTTCTCTTGGACATCCCTGCGGAGGCTCCGTTGCTCTCTTTTGAGGGGCCACCCTGACACAATTCTAAGCCACAGGACTTTCCTGCAAAATTCTTTGAAATCTTGGGGTGCAAAGCCGGGCCCCTCTGGAGGCTTCCCAAAGTTCTTCGCTTGCAGAATTCGGGACTGCCTCTCTAGCGCCCTCAAAAGGCATCTCAGCTCAGCCTTCCTCTCCCCTAGCTTGCCCTGGAACCGGATTCCCCCTGCACTTTCCTCTCGGCCGGAGAAGATGCTGTGGTTTTCACCATCGACTTGAGACAAGACCGGCCGGCTTCGTAAGTGGGCAGCTGAGCGGCTGGTGCTTCCCGTTGAGGTGGCTCGGCGCTGAAGGCCTCGTTTTGTGTCTCTAGGAAACTAGTTGTGACCAAAGAGAAGGACAAGAAAGTTGGTCTCTACACCATTTACGTGAACCCAGCCAACACGCACCAGTTCGCTGTGGGAGGCAGAGATGAATACGTCAGGTCAGCAGAGGCCCCCCCCCTCCCCACCCCAGTGTGTCCGGGAGACCCTGCTGGGCCCCTGACGTTCAGCTGTGGTGCCACCCTCGAGCCCCTGCCACCCAGGAAGGAGATCCACCTTGTCTTTGCTTTGGCTTTCATCACACCTTAATTCTGTTAGCTTGAGGACTAGAAGCTTGCTTTTTGACTTGGAAAGAATGAGGCTGGGGTCCCCTGGAGACTTTTGCTAGTCTCAGCTTTCCTTTTCTGCCTGTCTCCATGCAGGATCTATGATCAGCGGAAGATTAATGAAAATGAGAACAATGGGGTGTTGAAGAAGTTCTGCCCCCACCACCTGGTGAGGCCTTCTCTTCTGCCACCCCCTCCCCAAGTGGCTCTCGGGGGGAGCAAGCGGGAGCAGGCTTGACAGCCCTCTCTGGAGCTGGAGACGTCACTGTGGCCTTGGCAGGAAGCGGGGAGGGGGAGGGGGGCGCTCGGTTTCAGGGTGGGCAGCCACTCTAGGGAAAGAGCACCTGCGCAGAGGGGCTTTGCAAAGCAGTGGGGGGGAGTCTCTGAGTTCTGCCCTTCCATCCCCTCCAGGTGAACAGTGAGTCGAAAGCCAACATCACCTGTCTGGTCTACAGCCACAATGGCTCAGGTATGGGGCCGCGGGAAGCTCAGAGGCTGAAGGGCAGGTCGCCCCCTCTGGTCTGGGGTGGGGGTGGGGGGCTGGGCGGCTGCCTCCAGGCGCTCGCTTGTGGGTCTCTTGCAGAGCTTCTGGCCAGCTACAACGACGAAGACATCTATCTCTTCAACTCCTCTCATAGCGATGGAGCCGAATACGTCAAGAGATACAAGGGCCACCGCAACAACGCCACAGGTGACCCCACCCCCACCCCTGGGCCGTGGGGTTGCGGGAGGGAGGGGTCCCAGGCAGGACAGAGGCAGGTGGGGGCGTCCTTGGCAAAACTGGTTCTTGCTGTTGCCGCCCCCTTCTGGCCGGAGGAGACAAGGGTGAGGCGGTTAAAATGTGCGCCCCCCCCCCCTTTTCAGTGCACATCCATGTAAAATGGAGCTCAGGAATGCAGACAGAGAGGGGCATTTGCTGAGGGGGGGATCGGTTTGTTGTGTCCTTCTGAATGAAAGGCAGCAAAATTACCCCCTCAGAGGGTTTGTCCTCCGACCAGGCGGGGGGCCCTTTCAGAGGGGGTCCCGGCCTCGCCTGAGGGGTCTCTGCATCTGCTTTCAGTGAAGGGGGTCAACTTCTACGGCCCCAAGAGCGAGTTTGTGGTGAGCGGCAGCGACTGCGGCCACATCTTCCTGTGGGAAAAGGCCTCTTGCCAGGTGGTGCAGTTCATGCAAGGCGACAAAGGGGGCGTGGTGAGTGGGGCCTTGGGGAGTCTGGCTTGGGGGCTGCTGAACCAAAGACGGTGGGGGGAGGGTAGTTTCTGCCTGCTCCCAGGCGGGGGTGTGGCGCCCAGTCCCCCGGATCCCTAGCCCTCACATGGTTCCTGAGCTCAGTGGACCCTCTGCAAATGTTTGCAGCCCCCTCCTCTTTTTGTCTGGTTGCCTTGCAGGTCAACTGTTTGGAGCCTCACCCCCACCTCCCGGTTCTGGCCACCAGCGGCTTGGATTACGACGTCAAAATTTGGGCCCCCACCGCAGAGATGCCCACCCAACTGACCGGCTTGAAGGAGGTGAGAATCCTGGGTCCTTCCCCTCCCCCCAGCCTTCCCCTGGGGACCCTCATGCAGGTCTCCATCCTCGCTCTGCTGCTGCCCCCCCCTCCCCCCAGGTGATCAAGAAGAACAAGCGGGAGCGGGACGAGGACAGCCTGAACCACGCGGACATGTATGAGAGCCATTTGCTCTGGTTCCTCATGCACCATTTCCGGCCTCGACGGCGTCACAGGGTAAGCGGTCCTCCTGGCTGACCCTTCCTTTTTTGGCAGGGCTGCCCCGGGGCTCAGCCCTGCCTCTCAGCTCGTGTTGCGGTATCAAATAGGGAGGAGGGCTCCAAACAGTCACCGGAGCTTCCGTGATGCTGAGGCTGCTCCTTTTCTGCAGCGCCAACGGGATGCAGGCACTGGAGTGGCTGACAGCGACTCCGAGGACTCCCTCAGCTCCTCGGACACCCTGGACGAAGACGAGGAGGGCCCCGACCGGGTGCAGTGCATGCCTTCCTGAGACCCCCAGAGGCACGGAATAGGCTGCAGGGACGCCGGGAAGGGCGGAGAGCCTTCCCTGTTGAATTAGCCACCCTCTTCCTGCTTTAGATGAGAGGCCCGCCCTCACCCTGCTTGCCAGCCCTGGTTAGCAGGAGGGCCGGCTTGGCTCAGCCCCACCCTTGGACTTTGCTCTCCCTTTCGCCTTCGGCTGCCCTTTTCAGCACCAGATTTCCCAGAGTCCCAGGGGGGCTGGATTCCTGGCTGCGGTTGCCGCCTGTTCCCTTCAAAGCTTCTTTGGGGTGGGGGGCGAGAGTTGGCTTGGTTCCTCTCCTTTCTGGGGGGGGAAGGGGGAGGCTTCAGAAGCACTTTGGAGATGTACTTTTATCTCGCCCCCCACCCATCCAAGGACACCCGGCTGCTGCATGTTGCGTCCAGGATGAGCAAACCTGGATTCTGCTTTTCCAGTGAAAATTTGGGAGCTTTGTTCCTTCTGGGTTTGGTTTTTTCCCCCTGGTTCTCTCTTTCTTTTGGTGTGTTTTTCCTCCAGCAGCTCTAGGCACAAAGGGCCTCCTTCCCTCCCTTGGCCGTCTAGAGCCGCCTCTGCGGTCGAGAGTGGCCACTCGCCTGAACTCGGAGCATAAAGTTTAAAAGGTTTGAACGCAGCCGCCTTGTTTTTTCCCTTCCTCTTCAGGATAATCTCTTGGTTTTGAAAGCAACTTTTTTTCCCCCCCGATTGCTGTTTAGAGGCCTAATTTTATATGTATTAAACAAGACAAGAACCAAATTAAACTTGGATGTTATCAAGTTAAAATTATTGTAAAAGTTTAAATATATATATATATTATATAAATGCAATAAATGAATTGAGAGAGACCCGGTGGCATCTACGGCCAGCATCTTTGCTATTCCTTGCTCTTCTGTGGCTGCCCGGCCCCTGGCCTCATCCGGGGATTGGTCTTCCTGCCCCCTGCCCACACAAGAGGCACTGGCCCCTTCCTCTCCCCCAGGTCGATGCGGGGAGTGAAATCCCCTTCTTTTCTTTTTGGGAAAACTGTTCAGAAGACTTTTAATGGGGCCGGGTACATGAAAGGTGGACATCCACTCACCTGCAGCCTTTGTGTGGCAAGCCAAAAAATACACACGTTTTTATAATTGTCAGTTACTACGTATATGCACAATGCCTTCAAGTTTCATTTTGATTCTGAGCGTGTTGACTTCCTTCGCATTTTGGAGAGAGAAGGCTATTTTAAGTGGGAATTTTTTAGTCAATGCTGGGGTGTTCTTTGCCTCCTCTGTGGTTCTAGGTAGGGAGGGGGCTTGATGCTCTCACATTAAGGGGGTGGAGAGGTCTGGGGCCTGACCCGTGTGTCTCAGTCTCCTAGTTGGTCCTAAAGGCTGTCAGTTGGATCACAGCCAGATGTATTACAGCTGGGTCTCTGGTTAATTTTAGCAGCAAGAAATACTGGCTGGGATTTGGCAAAGCAGCTTAAGGTGGCGTCAGTCCCGCCAGGGTGCCCGCATTGCCCCGTGTGTGAACGTGGGCTCTAATGTGCAGCTCGACAGACCTGACCGGTAGGCCCTTGCAGCTCCCATCTTCATAGCTTGTTTGGATCCGAGTGACCCAATCTTCCATCTGTGATGTACCAGAACGGCGTATTTGGTTTCTTTCTTATTTAATTCTGCAATCCGAGACAAATGTGGGTTTTTTTGAAGTTAGAAACAACTATTCTGTTACAATTCCTTTGTTTTTGTTTTTATTTTTGGTCCACTTGACAAAATAAGTTACACTGAGCACTCCATATTATATTTAATATACATATATTTATAATATATATGTACACACAGTTAGCACGGTCTGAGCATCAGAGTCAGGGACATTGGGAGGAAAGGGGGGGGCGCTGGCCGCAAGGGACAGGATTTGTGCCTTCTGTCGCTCCTTGGAGCTGCAGGGTCCTGGGAGACCCCCCATCTCCGCTGCCGGGGGCATCATGAAGCTACCCTGTCGCCCCAGAGGAGGGCCCATCCGCTCTGCCCCCCCTCTAGTCTCCCAGAGCCCTCTGTCAGGACAAGGGCCCCTTGGAAAGCCTCTGCAGGGGCCACCCAGCCCAGAAGAGCAGGGCCGCTTTAAGCAAGTTGTTTTTCAGCTGCTTTGTGCTTCATTTCATTTTGAGACATTCGCTCGCTCTGAATTCTACACCTCCCCTCACGCCTGCCCCCCCCGCCCCCCCAATACTATTTTTACTTGGTGCTAATTTGCAGTGAGATCAGCACCAACTGTTCAGCTGTAAACACTGGAAGAGAAACATGCTAATTTAAGGCCAGTTCAGGCAAAGAGGAGCCCTCCGTGTTGGTCCTGGGTGGCAGGAGCAGTGCTGACTTTGCAGGCGGAGCCTGCTCCTGGGCACCATGGCTGCCTCTCAGGTGGGGCAGAGGCCTCGGTGGGGAGGCTTGGCCTGGAGCCATGGGGGGTTCAGGGGCCTTGGGGGGGGGGCTGCTCTGCCAGAGCTTCCTGCATCTTTTGTCTCTTGCAGACGCTCGCCTGACCCAAAATGCGTAAAAGCAGACGGCGGGGAGCCCGAGAATTCAGTCCTCTTCCCCCATCTCGGAAGGGCCCCTGTTCTTTCTGCCAACTCTTTCCAAGAATTGTGGTGCTGCACGTGACCCTGGCACCCCACGGAGCCAGAGCGCCCGGCCCGTAAGGCCAGCACCTGGGCTGCACGTGACGGACAGAAGGGGGAAGGGCCAGCGGGAGACACGGGGGTGGCTTTGAGGGGACACCATGTTAAAAACACAGTTCTAGCCCAGCTGTTTCTATGCACACAACGAGCACAACACGAGTGTCGGGAAAGGTTATGCCACTTGAAGGGGCTCGAGCGCAGGATGGCAGGGCTAAACAAAAGTATATTCAACAGAAACACTTCGCATTCCAGCGCCAGAGAAGTGACTTGGCCGTTTCCTGAAGACCCCTGGAGTTCCGCGCAGGCCAGGCCAGGCGCTGGGAGCTCTCCTATGCCGGATGAACCAGAGGCCCCGGCCTGCTTCTGGCACCCCACAGCCTCCACCCTGCCTCTGGTTTCATCCTCAATGGCTGCCAGGAGGCCAGGCGAGGAAGGTGCCCTGGTGAGGCCGAGCTGCTTGGTCTTTTCCTGAGCAGAGGCAGCTGCAAGAGCCACTGGCGGGCACCCACATTTGCAAGCCCTATGCGGTGGCAGCGGGGCCCTGTGGTCCTGACCCCCAACCCAAACCAACTGCTGGAGGTCAGTCTGGGGCAGGAAGGAAGTCGGCCAGGCTCCCTTCTGCACCCTGTGGGGAGTGGAATTAGTGGCTCCAGCACCCAGTGGGTGAGGGCTGGTTTCAAGGGGGGCAGGAACTTGGGTAGGACGGGTCTGGGAGGGGGCTGCTCCTTCCCCCAACACCCCATATATAGGGCAAGGCAGGGCCTCAATGAGCACCAGCCACCTGGCTTCAGCCGTGGGTGCAAGCGTGGGCAAATGGGCAACTGACCCTCACCCTCTGCCCCCCCCCCCCCCGAGGCGCAGGAAGGGAGTAGAAAAGGAGGCACCCATGGAAATGCCTGGAGAGGCCACCGGGGTGGGAAACCCAGGGAAGGCACCTTGTGGACAGGCAGGGGGGCAGGGCAGGGTCTGTGGCGGTGGGTGCTCTGGTGCTCCTGGTCCTGCTCTGCTCTGGGGGGCTCTGGTCCAGCTGGGAAGGAGCTGACGCCCCCATCTGACCTCTCTTCCTGGTCCATCTCCTGATCACTTGGTCCTTCGCTTCCCCGCCATTCTTCTGCAGCCCAGTGGACCCCGGAAGAGCTGCCTGAGCCCACACCCTTCCCCTGCCCTCCCCCAGAAAAGGAGGGCTCTGTGCCTGGGTTACCAGGGGGCTCCACAACCCTCCGCCTCTCTAGGTCCAAGCCCTGCTAAGCAGCTGCAGCCATCACTGACTACTAGGGGGAACTGGGCAAAGGGTGGTGGGGAGAGCAGAGAGTCTCTAGGGCAGCTGCAGAAAATCCCAAGGTCCCTGGCAAGGGATGGTGGCAACCCGCTCCCCCCTTCTGCTCCTCCTGCCCCCTTGCCTCCCACCTCTTGCAGGCTCATGGGGCAGAGGGCGGGGGGAGGGTGCTCAAGGAGGGTGGCAATTGTTGGGCATTCCTCTGGCAGGATCCCAGGGCCACCTACTTGCTCTCTCCCCTCCCTCCCTCCTTTCAACTACTTCTCTCTCTCTCTCCCACTTCCTCATTCCTTGCAAAATTGGCCCCTGATCCACCTGTGGGTCATCTCTTGCCCAGCGGGATGCAGTGGGGGAGCAGCAGCAGCAGTGGGGGCAGCCCTTCCAGCCCCCCTCCTCAAACAGCCTCAGCAGCCTCCTAAAACATTTATCAGCCAGCAACCAAGGTGAGAAACATGGGGAGGGGGAGGAGTGGACCCCCCCATCTCCCTTTCCCCACCCGGCTGGGAGAAGGCAGAGAAGGGCGTAAGCAGAGGGGAGCAATGGGGGAGCCGCAAAGTGTCTGAGCCAGGGCAGTGGAGGGGGGGTGGCAGTGATCCTTAGAGCTGGGCCCCTCCACGCGTGCGCGCACACACACACACACACACACACACACACACACACAGACTGGGTTCAGGCCTTTTTGGGTGGGGGGGCCAGTTTGATGATCTCTTCCTCCGAGGGCTGTCGAATGATGTCTGTGGAGAGAGGGGGGCAGCAGTCAGAAGAGCCAGGGGCTGGGGGGAAAAGGAATTCCCCCCCAAACCTCCCTCCAGAGAGATCTGGCCCTCCGGGGGGGGGCTTTCTGACCTTTGTACTTTTTGGCACTGGGGATGCGGGTCAGTTTGGTGTCCACCTCGTCCTCCTCCGAGATCTTCAGCACTTGTGTGCGGTACTCCACCACCCTGGTCAGCAGGTCCGGCCGGCGGGAGATCTCGAAGATGTGCTCGATGTAAGAGAGGTTGTCTGCACAGAGGAGACGGGCGCAATCAGGGCAGGGGCGGGGGGGGACCGGGTGGGGGAGGCACAGAGACTGGGTGTGTCCGGCCTGGGCAATAGCGAGCAACAGGCTGCCTGCGTGGCTGTGGCTGCTGCAGCCGTTTCCAGGTGGTGCATCTACCGGCAAGTCAGATGACTTGGGTGGGTTGAGTGGGTGTTGCATGGCGGTGTGAGGCTGCATGTGGCGCTGGCGCGTGGGTGGCCACACCGCTGGTGCAGAGGCAGGGGAGAGTGAGCGGGTGGGCGATGTGCAAACTCTTGCGAAGGCATCCAGGAGAGGAGGGAGCCAAGCCGAGAAAACAGCTTTTGCTTCTCTTCAAAAACAAATGACATCACTTGGCACCATCTGCCCCTTCCTCTCCCCTCCCGGTGGGCAGACAGGGACTGGGCAGAGGGCAGAGAGCCCAGCTGGCTCACTTCTTAGCCTTCTAGTGCCTGGGGCTACTTTGGGGGCTCAACGGGCAACCTGGTTCCCCTCTGCCAATTTCCCCAAGCGCCTCACCCAGCGGCTGCATTTAAATCACTCACTGGCACTCTCGGGGGCTGCCTGGCATTATTGGGGCACCAGCAAAGACTTTGGGAGGGGGCAGGCTTTCAATGAGCGTCTTGTCCTCATCCGGATGCTCTGTCCCTCGGTTGTGTCTGATAAGTGGTTTCTCCACTTCAGTTCCCACCCGCAGCCCCCCAGCTCCCATGCAGGCCCCCAGCTTGCCACACAGCGCATGGCGAAGGAGGCTCCAAATCTTCCCTGCTCCCCCCCCCAGCTCCTTTCCCACCTTTGTCCAGTTTGTTGTGCTTCTCCAGAAAGCCGAACCAGTCCTTGCCGGTGGCGATTTCTTCATGCCTCTCGCTGGGGATGTCCTCCTTGCAGGCCGACTTCAGCTGGTCCAGGTCTTCGTTGGTGATGTTCTCAGCCAGCTCCTCCAGCAGGCTGCTGTACTCCGCCATCTCTGCAGGGGAGGAGGGGAGTTAGGCCGAAGGAGGGCTCCCACCAGGCTGGCGGATTGCGGGCATTGGGACAACAACCCACTCCAGGCACAGGTCTTTCCGTGAACGCCTCACCCGTCATCAAAGACGTGGGCGCTGCTTTGCCAGGCTGGGCATCGGCTGTGGCCACTTCAACCTCCCAACGCCTTGGCTGGGCTCTTTGGGCTTGGTAAATGGCCCTTAGCTGCTCATTTGCTGGGCCCAGGGGGCTTCTGCCCCACCCCCTCCCCAGCTCCTCTCCTACCTGACTGCAGCTGGAGCACCTAGCAGGCTGCCTGGGCAGTTCAAGACAGATGGCAAGTGGCTCTGTGGAAGGGTCCCCCACCCCTCAGAAGAGTGTGCCAACTGATGGCCAGGGTGGGTCTCTCTGCTCCCTCCCTCCCTCCCAAACAGATTTCTGCATCCCGGCAGAAGCCTGATTCCCGCTCTGCCCAGCGGCTTAGCGATGGGGATTAGAGCGTTTTCATTTGGAAAGGAAGACCACAGGAAATAATGCCCAGACAGAGGCAACCCCCAGCTTTCCAGGGCGCTCCAGAATCCCTGACCACGGCCATCTGGCCTTGGTCAGGGGGGTGGGAGTGATGGGCTGGGTCAGATGTGGGTCACGAGAACTTGCCTGTTTTTTGCAAGAGGAAGGCGGCACAACTGCCCCCGGGGGCAGGTTTTGTCAGCTTCCCAGGAAGGACTGACACTATCCCCAGTAGGTACCATCTGGCAAGGGGGCTGCCACATCCTTAAGACCCTGGCCACGCTCTGTCTTTGGAACTCTGCATCAGAAGCTGAAGTCTACATGTTCTTCCAAGCTCACCCACTTGCTTGGCAGATGCTCCTGAGTTGGATCATTGCTTTCCAAGGACCCGATCAAGGCTCAGCACGTTACTTGCTTACTGGTGTGGGAGGGGGCTTCCACCCCTCCCTGCCAAGAGCAGCCTCTTTTCCTTTGGGGGCTTGGCAGAAAGGCAGCCTGTGAGACTGATTTCCCTCCCCCCCTTCACCAGCAAGGGCCTTTCCCTGGGGGGCACCCAAATTCCTTTCCCACATAGATTCCTCAGATGTGAGCAGAGATTCTGGAGGCACAAAGGAGCTTATTTTCCTCAAAAACAACCAAGGGAGCCAAGCACATCCTTCCCCTCTTTATTTCCCTGACAAACAGGGTCCGACTCCGTGCTTGCTGGCTCCGTGCTTGCGCCTTGCAGCTCCGTTAATTCCGCCTCAAAATCCAGTGATTTATTTTGCAGAGATAAATAGCAAATAAAAAAGTTGACTTTCCAGACAAAGTTAAGAGCTCTCCTTCCACCCAGCCCACCTCTTCATTTGAAAAATGAATTTGTTAAAAGAAAGGCTTGCTTTGGGATGCTCAGCGAGGGAAGAGAACCTTGAATTGGTAGAACGCTGGATCTGTAGGTACGCCCCAAGGTATTGTGCCCAGAAACCCTGCGGGCACCAGAGCAATTGCACGAGCACTCCCACCCACCCTTTACGACACTCCTGTTCCTGCCCAGGAAGGAAATAAAGGCTACGTGTGCCAATGTAAATGCCACCACAGTATTGCCAGGCGTGCCACAGATGGCTTTCCTGTGCCTTTTGCAGCAGAAGCACCCGGGCACCCATCGTCCTGCTGTTCTTCCCGACAGATGGGGCGGCTACAATCAGGCCCAGGCCAGAGTGGTCCCCAGGGAGCCAGAAACCCCTCAAATGAAGTGCAATGGCCACGGGCTGGGAGGGCCACCCCCTTCATTTCTTTGCCCACCAGTCGACAAACTCTCTTGATCTCCAACCCACCCAGAATCCCCATTAATTAATCTGCTCCTGTGCAATTACTCCCACGTCTTGGTCACAGCTGCTTATTATCTCACAGCCCCCCTCAAAACACGCATTTCTGCCGCTGCAGCATCTCTACTCCTAAAGTTTTCCCCCTCCCCCAAAAGGCTTTGCATTCTCTGCCACATTTGCGAATTGCTATTTCCCCCCACAAGTGAAATTGCCCTGTTTCTTCTCTGTAATTCTGATGCCCCTGAATTTCTTCAGGTACCCCCTCCCGTCCAGTTCATGCCTAGGGAGTGGGGAAGCTCACAGAGGCTCCGGAAGAGGTCACAAATTCAGCCTCAATTGGGGCTGATTTTCCCCAGAAGCGAGCCAAGCCAGGGTTTGGTCTGCTGCTGCCTCCCTTCCCTCTGGCCAGTCCAGCTGTTGCTGCCGTAGGGAAGTGTGGAGCCGCCCAGCAGGGACAAAGGGGCTGTTTGCGGCTCCAACCTCCTGACTTCCCCAGGAAGAGGAAATTCCTGCACTGCTGGCAAAAGGCAGTCCCCTTTCCAGATGGCCGTCTTGCCTTCCCTAGAATGAATTGTGGGGGGGAAGGCTCGTTGGGTGCTTCCCCTCTTTTCTTGTCCATTCAGGGCCACAAACGGCCTTCCCTGGCCTCCCCCCACCCCTTCCTCAGGCCTGCCAGGTGGCAGAAACCCAGGGCCTGGCAGAGGAGGCTGCGAGCCAACAAGCTGGCATGGGACCTGCTGAGCCTTTCCCAGGCTCCCGAAGCCCAGGAAAACCTCGGCCAACCCAGCGGAGGGAGGGTGTGGGCACTTGGGGCCAGGCGCTTGGCAGATGGGATGGGCAGCTCAAGGCCAGTGGCAGAGCCATGGGTCCAGTGGGCATCCACCACCCATTGCAAAGCACGACAGCTCTTGCACCAGCTGCTTCCCCTGTGCCAGCCATCAATCTGGATTAAGCCAGCTAGTCTGAGCGGGTCAGGGATGCAGGAGGATGGGTGGCCTCGACCTGCTTGGAAGGAGATGCGCCAGATGGGCCTACTTTTGAAATGCTCCATCTAGGACAGTTGCTTTTTGCCGGGGAGGGGGCTTTTGAGTCCCATCAGCAACACAGGGAGGTGGGCGACCTAGGGCAGCTTTTCCACAGTCTGGCCGTCACGCAGAGGGGTTGGGCCACACTTCCCATCATCCCTAGCCACTAAGGCGCATTGCCTCTGGAAAGGCTTGGGTGCAAATCCTCCCTCGACTCTGGGCAGCCTTAGGCCAGTTGTGACTTCTTGGCATGTCCTGCCAAGGGATGTCAGGGGCAAGCTGCCATTGGGGAGGGAGCAAGGGGCTGTAGAGATGGCCGCCAAAGCGGCTCTCCCTCCCTGCTCCTTGCAAAGCCCGGCCTGTCCCTTTAAGACCCAAAGCCCTGCTTCCTTCTGTTTTCTTCTTCCCTCCCTTCTCCTTTTTCCTTTTGTGCTGTGACTGATCTCTTGTAACTCTGCAGGCCAAGGGCTGCTTTGTTCCCAACTTAAGTTATGCAAAGCACGTGGACACGGAGGCCTGCAAAACAGGGCCAAGGGCCTTTCAAGAATTGAAGAGCAAAAAAGCGGCCAGGCTTTAGCCACATGTAGGCTGAATGGAAGAGCAGGAAGGGCTAGATATGGCTGAAAGGGGCTGGAAAAGCCTTTAAAAGAGGGAAGGAGCAGATTTCTTTCTTGGCTCTGGGGATGCCGAGGGACCCTGCCACTTTCCTTTAATCAGGGGAAAAATAGGATTTATTTGTCCTCCTGCTTTACAAAAAGAAAGGTTTTCTTTCAGGGAAGTCCTGGAGCTTAAAGTTTGGTTTTCTGTTTCTTTGCAAAGTTGGGCTGCATTTAGTCACAAAAAGGTTTATTCAAAAGGTCAATTTCTCAAGGAAGCAAAAGACCACCGTCCCATTTTGTCCAAGAAGGCGCTTGTGGAAAAGATCCCACAGCCTCTGAGGGGCGAATCCAGGACGTCTGTAGTTAACAATTGCCGTTTACAGATACATTTTCCCTCTGAAACGGTCTTGCCTCAGAGGACATATCTTTCACTTCCCTTTATTTGTAGGGAAATATCTAGAGGGTCCTCAGGAACCCCCCAAAAGGCAGACATTGCCAGACTAAAATGCTTTGTTTGGTGGCTTCTTTATCCCAACCGACAGCTTGCCGGCCACTTGCCCTCCCATGGCAGGAGGGAAGCCATTTTGAGAAGGATGAGGAACACTCAGGGCTGATGGATTTCTTCAGCCAGTGCCCTCACTTTGCACTGGATTGAAATGAACATTTCTGGAGCAATTACCCTCAGCTGAGGGCATCTCGGGCTAAAAATTACGAGGGAAAGCCTTTGAGGAAGAAAGCTGTTTTTCAGAGCAGCCTTCTATTCAAAGCTGGCTCCAAGATGGATGGATGGATCCTGAGGGAAGGCTAATCTCCAGCCACAAAAGCTTTATCTGGCTTTGCTCCCCAATTTCTTTCTCAAACAGGCACGCAGTGCAGAGAAAAACTGGAATTAAAATAAAAAAAGGACACTTCTCAGACTAGAAACAGAAGAGTAGCTGCTGTCACAACATGGCTGCCCTTCAACTCGGGGAGGCCTCAGAAAGAGGAAAAAAATCTCTTAAAAACAGAAAAAGCCACACAGGCATTTGGCTATTTCTTACATTAGCCAGGAGAAACTTAGCTTTGCTCAATTATTAAATATGGATGATGATGATGATGATATTAAATTATTAAATATAGGCAAGAGAGCCAGGCTATGGACTATCTGACAGGACTGGAAAAAAGCCAACTTTATTCCTTCTTATTTTTCAAGCATGAGATAGTCCTTTCACTCCTGCCTCTAAGGTCTTTTGTCTTTTGCTTTGTTAATTCATTACATCTAACTTTAGGCTGTCTTCTCCCGTACTGCAACCTCCACAAAAGTGCAAAACATGATTAAAAGCAATAAAAAACCAATAGTAATCAAACTCTATTCTGGAAGTGCCAAAGCCCCCAGACAGCTGTCGGCTCATAAAATAGAGAACTGCATCTGCAAAACAATCTCAAGTTTACTCAGAGGGAACCTTCCAGTCGTGCTTCCTTAATCCATTTCTTTCCTAACTTGTGGTTTCTAGAGAGATGGCTTTTATGAGAAAATAGAGGGGGAAATTTATTCACAGTTTTTAGCTCTGTTGAATGCCGCCCAGA